TATGCATTTAGTTATCTAACAGTTAAATAAACTCACCCGGGCCCGAGGATCTCTTACAATCCGCTGGAGCCGTTTCACAGTCTCTATGTTGTGAGCAAAAACATCTAATCCTGAGTGCACCAATATTTCTACAGCTTTTAAATCACCTCGAAAATCAGAAGTTAAACACTCCACCATGATATCAGGCTTTAGTTTCTGCAAAAGAAGTAGCAATATCCAAACAAATTCATCACATCACAATTCAACCAAAATTTCAGCAACATTCTAGTATTTTCAAGTTTGCAAGTAGCACACGAGGAAAATCAGAAATTTCAGATTTAAAAAAAATGAAAAGTCAACAATATTGCAAAAAAGATATAGCAACCTTCATAGCTTTGACAGTCTGAGCAAAATGTCCACTCCCACCATCAGGTAGGTCATCACGGTCTACACTTGTTAAAACAATGTAATCCACACTACAAAAATTATAAAGCATGTAATTATTATTTGTGATAGCAATAACATGTTCTTGAATTGTAGAAGCTACATGTTCGCAAAATAATATACATAAAATCTATGCAGGAAGTGTCAACTAGAGCTAGTGTCTTAAGTTCAGAAGCCCTAAAACAGCAATACAAAAAAATTGGCGCAATACTCTTCCCCCTAGTCGTTAAACCTGCAGCCAATTTGCCAGTATGATTGTAAGGTAGCACTTAGCCTCCCTGAAACTTCCACTGTTACCATTTCTATAAAATGAAAAATTCCCAATGCCTGTTTGATTTTGACTTACGAGAAAAATTCCCATTCTTTAGTAAACTGAGGATCGAGCCCAGTTCTGGGCAGTAAAACAATAGTCTTAATGATTTATCTGCAACTCAACTTTCTGAGGACAAGGTTTTCATTACTTAATTGTAGGAGAAATTGGTGATAATCATGATAATCGCTACTCTTTCTGTCATTAACAGATATACGATGATTGATTTTTTCAATAAAAGCCATATAATAATTAATTAGACATGATAAACAAATTATTTTACCATCCCTATTGCCACTACCATAATTTTTAAGCTGGTGGCTAATACTCCCATGGTTCGAACCCAGGTTCCAGAATAACAAGTTCTCCCCTAATGTACTATTTTCACTTTCTTTCCAATTTTTTTTAAATAAAAAGAGTGAGTGAATTAATGAAGGCAGCAGGGGAGTACCACCCATATCACTTTCTTTCTAATTGATATTTCTTCTTCCATTAAAAGAAAATCCCACAGCAGCCTTGCAGCATAGAGTCTAAATTCACAAAGCAGAAAGTAAATCAGTT